CTCCATATATACTGTTTTTTTTTCCTATAAACACATACCCACAACAGTTTAATTTATAAATTAGGCACTGTAAGAGATTCATAATAGTAACTAACAATAAAGTAGAATTGTAACTATATTAAGTAAAATAAAGATAACCTAAGCACAGGGACTGTGTCACCATGACACTCCATCTGATAACCAAGATGGCTCCTAAGTGATTAATGGGTGGGTGGTGGACATCACATAGATACACTGAGCAAAGGGATGACTCATGTCCTGTATCAGCTGTAGTAGAACAGCATGGCATGAGATCATCTCTGCTCAAAGAGCACCATTTAAAGTTTAGGAATTCTTTATTTGGGGGATTTTTAAATTTAATGTTTTTCAGACCACAGCTGATGGGAGGTAACTGAAAAAAATGAAAAATGATATTGCAGCTGGGGGGACTACTGTATAACTAAGCCCTATAAAGCAATGAGGTGCTGGGGATGTAGTGTCAGTTGGTGAAGTACTTGTTTAGCATGTATGAAACCCTGGGTTTGCTCCCCAGCACTATAGACTGAGTGTGGTGGTGTACATGTGCAATCCTAGGACTCAAGAGGTGGAGGCAGAAGGATCAGAAGTTCAAAGTTATCCTCAACTACACAGTGGTTTTGAGGTCATCTTTGGCTATATGAGACACTGTCTTAAAAAAAATATATATACCCAGAGCAGCACTGGCCCAAGAACATCTGGATCGACAGAGCAGCCATAGGAGCTAGGAACAGATATGGGTGTTTATGGAGACTTGGCACAGGACAGACAAAGATGCAAGCATACATTGGTGGGGAAAAGAAGTTTTGGGTACTGATGGAGAACGAAGTAGAGAAAAATAATATATTTCGGGGCTGCAGAGATGGCTCAGTGGTTAAGAGCACTGACTGCTCTTGTAGAGGACCTGGGTTCAATTCCCAGCATGCACATGGCAGTTATGAACTCTCCTTAACTCCAGTTCCAGGGGAATCCAAAGCTCTCTTCTGACCTCCACAGCATTGCATGACATAGTTGCACTCACATACAAACAGGCAATATACTCATATACATAAAATAAAAA